TTCTTGACAACAATTTATAGTTTGAGATCATCGGCGTATATGAGCACACAACCACTCGGCAAGAGGAGCGTCACATCGTTGAAGAAGATTGTGAACAGCAATGGTCCTAAATTGCTGCCCTGGGGAACACCGGAGGTTGCAGCAAATGGTGATGAAGTGCACGAACCCAGCTTGACACGAAGTGTTCTGTTGGAAAGATATGATTTCAGCCAATCAACCAAACCATCCGAAATTCCCAGGCGAGACATTTTCCGAAGAAGAATACCATGATCGATGCAATCGAATGCCGCTTTCAGATCGGTATAAACGGTATCTACTTGAGCCCTATTTTCCAAGTGATTTATACATGTTGAGGTGAACTCCAGCAAATTTGATGTAACTGAGCGTCCTGGCATAAATCCGTGTTGCGTTGCTGAAATGTAGCTCTTGACATGAAAGAAGATAGCATCGTTCACAATGATCTCGAATAATTTTGAAGCTGCAGATAGACTTGTTATGCCACGATAATTTGTCACGTCACGTTTGTCGCCCTTCTTATGGACAGGGAACATAAAGGAATGTCTCCATATTTCGGGGAAAACTCCTTGGTGCAACGAAGCGGTAAAGATGCGAGCTAGGGGATCAGCTAAAACAGCAACACAGCGGCAAAAAATGATTGCAGGTACACCATCCGGACCCGGTGAAACAGATTTCTTCAACTTCCTAACAGCTTTAACGACATACATATTGCTAACCACAAATGTACGCAAATCGATGAGACCCTCAGGAACATTGCAAGCCGCTCTTTCTACTTCATCTGCGTTGGCGGCTGAATCCGAAAAAAAAAAACAGAACTGAAGTGGCGGGAAAATAGATCACACGATTCGAGCATAGAAGTAGACTCCAAATCACCAAAAAATACGGATGAAGGAATATTCGACGATTTTCGCTTGGAGTTCACAAACTTCCAGAAGCTCTTGGGATTTCTACGTAAATTGGTCTGGACACGCAAGACATATGACTTGTATAGGGTTGAATTAAGCTTACGATAGGCGTTGCAAGCGCGATGAAAGTTACGTTTCGTTTCAGAAGTTCGATGTCGGCGAAGTTTACGCTGCCAGGAATTTTTATCACGTTTCAAAAGCCGCAGGAGAGGAGAACTCCAAGCAGGAGATATAGGAGGTTTTCGTCTTGGAGTGTTATCGGTGAGCCAATTGCAAATTATGTTGCAAAATTGTGCTGCCATATCGTTGACGTCATTTGTTGCCAGAATACTGCTCCAATCACAGCTCATCAGGAACTCGTTGAGCATGACAAAGTCGATTTTTGAGTAGTCGAGCGTATGTTCACCAGCATCAAGGGATTCCACACGGTCAACACAATCGGATTGAGTTGGTAAGGAGAATAAAATCGGTGGATGATGCAAATCAATAGCCAGCAATGGGGACACCGCTTCGTTAACTACAATTTTGCAATCGGAATCACAGAAAACCAAATCTAGGATGCGCCCCAGGTACTTTTACACGAGACGTAATCCATATTGGACGTAAATAATGGAGTGTAGACAAACATCTCAAGTAAAATTAAATGTTCTCAAACTGAAACATAGGGAAATCGACGAAGTGAACGTTTGATTGAATCGATTTTCACGTTTCTTTCAACTGATTCTTATGTCAAAACTGCCGCTTACATGTGTCGGTCTCAGGGAACCTAAATTGACAAGACTTTTTCGTGTGTCAAACGAAGGATGTACCCATAGCGACCATCATGCGATTTAATATGGCATCGGCCAACGGAATACCGTGGCAGTACGGAGGACGAGAGCTTGCGACCGGAAGTGGAAGACGAAGGCTTTCGACAAGCATCTTTTCGTTGAAGCACAGCCCCGCAGAAACGTTAGTGAGAGCATGTGACACGACAGTGCCGAAAAAACTGGGGCCAAATAACAGACGACGTCCAGTGGTGGAGGTGGTGGAACGAGGCACGTGGCACCCTCCACGCTAGAGGAGTTTTTCGAGCGGCCAGGGCCGCCCATAAACAAAAGATAAATCAGAGCAAGTCAAACTGTTTTAAGGAGCTGTGTCAAGACTCTGACCCATGGGGCAATGCATACCAAGTCGTGATGGTGAAGATCAGAGAACAACGATGCCCGCTGAAATGTGCCGAGAGAAGCTGAAAGTCATCGTGGAAGGACTTTCCCGAAACACGACCCATCGACTTGGCCACCTACACCGTACGGAGACGGAGAGGGAGATAGCGTCGAAGTCACCAACGAGGAACTCGTAGCAAGGGCGAAAGGATTGAAGGTGAAGAAAGCTCCCGGTCCGGATGGAAGCGTGAAAGCGGCAATCCAGGCGTCCCCGAACATGTTCGGGATGGTGCTACAGAAATACCTGGACACGTGGAAGATACAGAAGCTAGTGTTGCTGCCGAAACCAGGAATACCACCGGGGGATCCAGAATCGTACATGCCTATATGCCTGCTAGATTCACTCGGAAACCTCTTGGAGAGGATCATCCTAAACAGGCTGACGAAATACACCGAGAGTGACTGATTACCATTTCCAGAACCGGGTTCTAGTCTACGAGACATACATGGGACAGTGATCGATTTGGATCACAGTGAGAGTTTCATAAGGCTCCATTCTTTGTCCAACGATTTGGAACGGGATGTACAACGGGGTGCTAACACTGAAGGTGCCCAAAGGAGTTGAGATCGTTGGCTTTGCGGACGACGTCGTCTTGACGATAACAGGCGAGACACTGGAAGAGGTGAAAATGTTGGCCACCGAGGTGTTGGACATGATTGACAACTAGAAGCGAAGCTGCGGATAACCCACCACAAAACGGAAGTGCCATTGGTCAGGAGCTATTAAGCGGTGCAGCGGGTACAAATCGCCGTCGGGGAGCACGCCATAGACTCGAAGCGCGTGTTGAAATACCTGGGAGTGATGATCCATGACCGACTAAACTTCAACAGCCACGTCGAATAAGCCTGTGAGAAGGCTTCGAAGGCAATTAACGCGATAGCTAAAATCATGCCAAACAACGCTGGTCCCAGCAGTAGCAAGAGGCGTCCTCTGGCCAGTGTGTCGTCGTTGATACTGGGATATGGGGGTCCAGCCTGAGTTGCAGCGCTGGAAACGAAGCAGAAAATGAGCAATCCGTTCCGGCTCATGGCCATGCGAGTCATTAGTGCGTACAGAACCATCTCGTTGGAAGCAGTATGCGTTATCGTCAGAATGATCCCTATCGGAATCACCCCGGCGGAGGACAGTGAGTGCTACAGGCGGAGAGAAGCCGGAAGAGTACGGAAAGTTTAGAGAGCGGAGTCGTTGGCTAAGCTGGAACACAGCAGAGAACGGTAGATGGACACATAGACTAATACCTATTCTTTCGACCTGGGTGAACAGGAAACACGGAGAAGCCAACTTCCACCTAACGCAGTTCCTGCCTGGCCACGGCTGCTTCAGGAAATATATAGGTTCGAACACACAGCATCACACCTCTTTCCGGTGTTGTGGCAACGTGGACGAAACGCTGGAGCATGTGGTCTTTGTCTGTCCAAGGTTCGAGTCAGTGTGAAGGGAGATGCCCGCCCTTAACGTGAAGAATTTCGTCGATGAAATGTGTCGAGAGGAGGGCACTTGGATTGCCATTAAGACATTCTTTTATCCTAGAGCCACTAGAGCCCGAATGAATAAAATCTCCTCAAACTTATTACTCTCGATTTATAACCATTTCTATGTCCAAAATATCCAACCGAGTATGACGTAAGCCTGTGGAACTGTCAACTGTCAATCACCAATCGTATTACACAATATTTTTAATGCGATCACTCCGTTTGACCGACTCGGCACGAGCAAATTCTTTGCGAATCGGAATTAATATTCCATCAGCATCCTCCGGCAATGGACGGAACGAAAGCGCTGCTAGCAGGTAAAAAGCACCCACCAAAGGCGACGAAAGACGCGGTCTGTTTTAGTTTCTTCCGCAAGTTGATTTGTACTCGTCTTGAGATCGGCATGGTTGTACATCAAAACGAATAAAACTCGACTTCCGAACGAAATCGAAACTTTTTAGTTGTTTGTTTTGGGGAAATGAGTCTGGCCCATCCTCGAAGACGAAAGTAAGAGTCATAAAGTCAAACTTTTATCGCACGCTTGGTCGGAAATTAAGAGCGGTTAAGTATCTCGCTAAGAGTTTTGAAGCTACATGTTGAGTACCGGAGACAACTTCCACCCAACCTCGCCTCCAGTAGTTTTTCTTGAAAAATCTTCCATCGCTGGGTGGGTAATTATGCGCTTGGAGGATTTTTGACTTAACGACGAAGCACACACAAGCCGAGGCATCTGGCGTCGGCGTCGTCGTCGTCGTCGTCGTTCGTACCGCGGCAATGACGATGTGTGTTATTAGAGAAGGAGATCCAGCGCAGATTGTGTTTTGATTATTTTTTTTTTTGATTCGCTGAAGAATGATGGGTCTTTCAAAGCTACCGATGAACAATGTGAGCAGTGCTGATGACAATAAGCGAAAAACATTGCGTAGCCCCTCGGTTATTCAAATTATTCGCGCCACTACTCACCTCTGTTCGAGTGATGAAGATAATCGCTGGTAGATGCAAGCCAAAGCACAGTCAGTCGCACGATTTGAGGCGGGCGGTAGTTGGCAGTTAGTTGACGCTTAGTGAATGTTAGCTGGGTGGCTTTGTTCAACATAACATAACCGACACACATGCGTGAAACGTGTGGTGCAGGTGTAAAAAGGCATGTGACATAAATAAAGGAATCTGTACGATAAAAACGAAAACGGAATGGAAGTAGGTAAAATGGAAATTAAAGTCACCGAGTTTCGATGGGCCTTCTTCCCCTGTCAGTGCAGTGTTCCGAGGAAGCAACGATGATGATGACGATGGAGATAGTTTAAAGAAGAAAGAGGTGCAATATGTCCTCGCGGTTTGATATGCAGTCAGTTGGTGTTTTTGATCGCGTTGGAACGGATTTGTGGATTTGTTCGATTTGACTTGGATTGGTTCAGTTGTTCGAGTTCTGGAACTGATGGATACTTGGATCTAGAAAATGGTTCAGATACCTACTAGTGGATGAAAAATACTTTTAGTGCATTGAAGAAAAAGGATATCGAATCAAAATGAACAACGGAGGTGGCTTTGTTAAAGCCTACAGCAACAACTGGCTGTCGCAGTTTGGAATATACAAGTGAGAAAATATTAAATTTTTAATAATTTTTGGCAAGGGAAACCAAGGAACATAATGTGAAAAACAGATGAAAATAACTTGGGATCATGTGAACAGACTGACAAAATATTGTCCCTGAATACAGTACCGGATAAAACTTTACCTCCTCGTGATTGTGTTTGTCCCCAATAATGTTCAATAAGATTTCCAGAATGAGCATCAACATTTCTTAAATCTTGACTGTATGAACATCAACTAATGGCCAGTTCCACGCCACCAGACGAATCGATTTTATTTTTCTCTCGTCGAGTTCCATGATATTTCGCTTACCGGTTCACTAGGGGCAATGAACTAAGTTCGTGGGGCGGAGTTCGACCATTTTGACCCGTGCCTTTTTTTTTCAAAATGGCGTATTCAATATTTTTCACTAATTAACAATACTGACTATCACATAAAAAAAATAAAACTACTCGTTACGATTTGTTCTCCAAGAGAATAGAGCGATAAACTTTCGTCGCAGTAACTTACGTGGCATATGAGAGTTAAACACAGATGCAACTCTGTTGAATAATCTTTGTAAACCGATGATAGTGCCGTAGTTAGTTCTAATAAGTGGCAAGCGAAGCATCTGATTGTTTTGCAAGGACCTAGGATGCACATTGATGTTCATTTGTTGCAATACAACGAGTTGATTCGTTTCGCAGGACATCAGCGACAAACATAGCTCTTAGAGTGTCGCGACGAGTGTTGAGAGGCTCTAGGTTTATTCATAAACAAAGTTCCCCATAGGCGGGCAGGCTGAAAGGATTTCGCCACGGTAATCACCGAAGTGAGTAGCGAATGAATCTGCGCTGAACTGACTGGATTCGCTCAACTTCATTATGATAAAAAGTAGCTTTACCATATTCTTATGTGGATCGTACTAGGGAACAGTATAACGATTTAAGACAGTACACGTCAGTGAAATCCTTAACTCTCCTGATGATAATCCCCAAAGATTTGGAAACTTTGTCTACCATGAATGAAATGTGCTGACGTTCAAGTTGTGAGTCCAATAAAATACGCAGATCCTTCTCGTGACTTACTCGTTCAATTGAAATACCCAGGAGTGTGTAATTGAACTTTGAGGTCTTTTTTACGAGAGAAGGTAATTATCGAGCACATGTTATGGTTTGCTCTCATGCGGTTCAAGTCAAACCAGTCACTGAATCTATCAATCTGATTTTGTAGAGACATAGCGTCAGCAGGGGATTGAATCCTGAGGAAAATGTTAAGATCATCAGCGATATGGAGCGATATTGTTGCGTGAGTAGAAATGACCGAGGAGCGATCAACTTCATTAATCAGCTGAATTGTAAATACACACTTCGGAAAATACACATAAAATGAGTAAATGTGTACACGTTGATGCTAAAAAATACCTCACTTTGAATATACTCAAAATACCTCGAAAATAATTCACCTTTTTAAGTCGGGAAATACTCAAGTTGACAGCCCCTCGGGAATTACATAAAAAAGCGTACTAGCAAAAACTTAAAAAAAAATTGACCAAAAGTTCTTGTTTCACGATTTTTGTCAATTTTCAAGTGTCCATGATTTTAAATATTTCAAAAAATTGCAGTTTTTATGAGCTTTTTCGATTAAAGAAATATAAAAGATGAAGATATGCTTTTTCATATATTTGAGTTCGTAACACTTTTTTTTTTAATTTGTTCTTAAAATTACAAAAAGAAGAGGTGCCATGTAAAGTTTTCCCAGGAAGACTTTATTTTTCTCAACAACTTTGTCTCAGACGTCGTTTTAGTCGGATGTGAAGTTTTTGTGTTACAATTTATTTAAAAATAGCAAAAACGCCAGTTAAAAAAATACTCGATCCAAAATGGCCGAATTTTTGAGTAAATGTGAATAGTTGCGCAAAACTCTTAATTATTCAAAGTTTCATGCAAATTGGATAATTTGTCATTTGCCCTGGAACTGCTCATTTGGCTTGAATACTCTCGATGTGATCTACAAAAGATAATTTTTGGTCAAGTACTAGTCCAAGATATTGGGGGTCTCATAGATTAGTCAGTAAAGGCTTGGTATTACCAAGCCGGAGGCGGCGGGTTCGATTCCCGGTCCGGTCGAGAGAATCTTTCGGGTTGAAAATGTTATCGACTTTCCTGGGCATAGAGTATCATTGTACTTGCTACACAATATACAAATTCATGCATTGGTAATTAGCATCGAAAGCTCTCAATTAATAACTGTGGAAGTGCATTCAGAACACTAAGTTGAGAGCACACAATAAGCTAATATGCGAAAAGCAATAAGCTTGAAATTCGAATAAGAAGAAGATGTAGTCCAAGATATTTAACTTAGTTTAACCAGGAAATTGGAGCTCCGTTCATAGTGACTATGTAACTGCTAATTGGTTTCAACAAGTAAGCCTTAAGTTTATGTGGGAATTATTATATAAACCATTAAAATTTGTCGAACCTCTTAACGGAATCCCTTTATGAAGAGCTTTGAGTGGGTTGGTTTATTTCCTTTAAATTCCGTTATGATTGCTTATCTTTTGACAGATACGCGTATTTCGTCTACTACTTGCAGACTTCATCAGTGCCAAGTACTGTGGTTTTCAGTATGTTTCCGAGCTTTTTTTTTCAGAATTTGTGATCAAAACTTTACCAATTTTTTTTTTTTCAAAAATGTTGTTCAAAGGGTTTGGAACTCGGGTCGACACATTATTTTCAAAAGCTTTGTTCCTCAGAACAGAACACTTTTAAATATGTTTTTGCAAATCCCGACCGATAAATATCATGCTAGGATCGCGTGTTATTTGATATTGCCTCCTACGGACATTTTTCAGGCGGCTCAAGAGCTAAACATCATCGTCTGTTATAATTGAATCGAATTTAACCTCACCTTTTGGAACTGAGGCAGCTCTTTCTTCAATATAGAGATTTAAGAGCATTATTAACTATTTGTACTGCGTCTATAATATATATTTGTTTTTACCATTTTACAATTGACAGATATGAAAACCCCGTGGAACTACCGGCGAAACCAGTGGGTAATCAGCACCGCAAGATAGCCCTATACGGCATCCTGGCCATGGCCTTCGTGCTCTTTTTCATGCTGTTCGTGATCATCAACAAATCGGAAGCGGACCGCCGCAGCCAGCTGATCATGGCCAGTTTCTCCAACGAAACCAGCATCGAATCCAGCATGGGTCACACCGTGCTGACGACTCCGTTCTCGTCTAATGGAAGTTTGGCCGTTGGTGTGGTGAGCGACACTGATGCCTTTGAGGGAAGCAATGCAATAGCTGAGGCGAGAAAGCAACGTCGTACTCGAAGGTTGGGGTCGGACAATCCGGCAGTTGAGTTCAACAATAACTTGGTGCTCTATCCGAGTGAGTACTTGAAGCCTCCCAGGTTGGGAAGTATGAGGAGATTTGCAGAAGATTATTCACTAGTTGATAGTTTTCAAATGATTAAGAACGATAAGCCGAGGCCCTTTGGTTTTGAAAGCAATGGTGTGAGTCCCGAGGGTTTCAGTAAGCATAATTTATCTTATTTACCGGAGGACCCTCCGAAGATTCGAACAAACTACGGGATGGTAAACAACATTCAGGATGTGCTGAAACAGTTGTCGTCTACGAAAAATCAGAACTATAAATTTATTCCGCACCATCTCCAGCAACCTTCGGAATTCAGCAATCCAGTGTTCCGGAATCATCGGGTTAAGTTCTCCGGAATATACAGACATCCGAGAAAGAATGGTGACATCACGACTCTGTTTGGAGCGTCGTCTAAGCAACACGAGCTTCGCGTCTCCAAACCGTCGGATATCAACAGTCAACTGTCCGTACCAAACGTCTACATGCCCGATTCGTTGTACAACTTTCGCCCAGCAAATCCGAGTGATATCAATCTGCTGGCAACTGACCAGTTCCGATTTGCCCCGGAAAAAGGTTTTGAAACTAAAGAAAACCCTCCTAAAGGGATGCCCTTTTCCATAATGCTGGATGTCCTCCCGATGGCCGATGGAAGTCTTCGTTTCAAACGACCCACCAAGAAGAGACCAGTTCAAAACTACGCCAACACCAATTTCCCATCCTACTTCAACAATCAAAACTTCGCTCAAGTTCAGCACGTCATGTACAATCAACCAGAAGAAGACACCTACTTCCGCAGTTCGTCATCCTACCTTCGACCGCAGCAGCAGCAACGAATCTTCCCCACCATGAAACCGGGAAAAATGATGGTCCATGTAAACCTGTACCCCAAAAAACCCGCAGAGGCGTCCAGGAAATTCGAAATCGAGAAAACCGCCTTGGACATCAACCACCTGCAGCTCAACGTTGGAGCATCCCTGCCGGATCCAGAAGCACACTTGGTTGATCCGACCGCTACCACATCCATCCCGGATTTCCTGGAGATGATCTACGGTGTCAAGTCCTTGACGCCAACAATTGCCACCAGTACTACGAGCGCTGCGTCGAAAAGAACCATCCTGGCTCCGGTGCAGTCCGTGGATGACCAGGAGCAAAGTGAGAGCTTTACCAATGGAAACGTAGCTATGGGACGGTATCCACCATATCGGATGGTGAAGAAGCGGCACCAACAGCAGCAACAGCAACAGCAGCAGGATGTTGTCGATCCGAGATCGTTGGATGAGCAACCAAAATCGACTAAGCTGAATCTGCTGAACTTCGATGCGATGGATGCGGTTTGATGGCCGACATTTGGACAATGGATTTCATTGATGCATTCCTGAATTATGAGTAGCAATTGGTAGTAGTATTTATTCGTTTAGGTTTTAGAATAGTGGTTCATGTTCCAGCTCATGTATTTATCCGTGAAATAAAATTATACGTTTTAGGATTTTGGAAATGTTTTCTTCTGTTGATCATGATTACAGTCTCAATTCCTAACTACGGATAGAGTAAAATTAGGAATATTACGATTACGTACCAATTGAACCATTAGACCTTCGCTTTGGTGGTGTTTTCACCTCTAGTGCTGGTGTTTGATGCTCATAGACAGCTTGAACTTCAAGTGTTTAAATTGTTTATGTGCATCAAACACCAGCATATCACGTTTCAATTTTAACAATATTTGGAGCAGTGTTCATAAACTGTTTCAGTCGCAATTTTACGAACATTAACTAAGCTTTTAATTTTTTTTTTAGAATTCTGAAATATAAGTACAACAATGTAGAAATTAACGGAAATACATTTGTTATCAGTATGATTCAGAATGTAGAAATTATTCTGGAGTTTTGATCTTCATATTTCCAGGTTCAACAGAGCCAGATAGGATATTTTATCGAATGGTACACACTAATCCAGTCAGTAAGGTTTTTCTGGGTTTTTTAATTAATCATATCTGGGGGCGACCCTGGCGTAGTGGTTAACATCCATACCTCTCACGCCAAAGTCACGAGCTCAAATCTTACCCCCGCACAAGTCACGAAGGACAAGTTGGACGAGATCTTATTATGATATATGCTGATTTGAATTGCATATGGGTCATTCCATCTCAAGTGACCGAGTCAGTTGCATCGACCCTCTCCGATTTGAACCAAACTTGGTGGAACGACTTATTTTAGGCCAACAATCAAAAATCCAATGTTTTGTACCCATCGACTCACCCCCCGGTTCTGAAGACTGCCCCCACTTTTTCCGATCTTCAAGAAACACAATTTTTCTTTTGCACATATCTCTAGACCAAATTATGCTACAGACAAGATTGGGCACTCATTTTAAAGGATTTTTAACGCACAATCAAATGACGTTCTCAGAATTGTTATAAAGTGCTGTCAACTTGTCAATTTTTGCAATTTAAAACTTAAAATGCAAATATATCAAAATGCACCCACTTTTTTTCTAATTTTGATAGCACCAAAATGTTTGGCAGACATTTTTACATAAAAATCACTTAACTACCAAAAACAATTTTTTTCGTTTGGTAGACATGGATTTTTAAAGATTTAATGTTTTTAAAAAGATCCATTACTGTACAACCCTTCAATATGAAACGTTGGACAATCCTGGAAGTTGATAGAAACGATGAAACCTGTAAGTTAGATGAGGATCTAATCCTTCTTTCATTTTATTCAATCAAATGCTCAGATAATATTAATCCAGATGATATATGCTGTTTTTAAGCTCTATGAGCATTTTTGAATACGTTCACACTTATATTATTTTACAGAAGTCAGTATCTTTTTAATGAGTTTTTGAATTGTTGAAACAGCCGACAACAAGATCGACAAATTTTATTTTCTATCATTAAATGGGGCTAACGGAACTAAGTCTGTAGAAGTTCAGAAAAATGTTTTTGATTTTTGAATTTTCTACATATTTTAAAACTTTTACCGAACAGCATATGCAATTCAAATAAGCATTTATCATAATAAGATCTCGTCCAACTTGTCCTGGACAATTTATCATGAACTTCTACCTGTTCAATGCCATTTTTCTCAATGTCCTGAATATATGAATGAATTCCTGGGGCTTCGAGGGACTTTATACCCAGTAAATATGTATGCAAATTAATCGTGATTTGATTTCAAAAGTAATTGAATAAATTCTAATGCAAAACAATATCACAATTTTCCATTTGAAAAGACGTAAATTATAAAAATACGGTATTTAATTTAAAAGTGGGTTCATTTTAGTTTAATTTTACATGAGAGGTTTCAATTTCACAGAAAAACACTTTAATTTACCACGACACATTCAATCTTCCACCATAAATGATATAATTTTACATGCGCTCAACGTAAAACATTAAATTTTGACGTTTATCGTTTTGTTTTGAAGCGCGAGTGGTCATGGTTGGAGCAGCATGCGTGGAGGAAAAAACATATCTTCAGGTAACCGACAGAATGTAGGATTGTAGGTTTCAAGAACCTCATAAACACTAAATTCTTTGATTTCTTCAGATAGGAAAATTCATCGATGACCCGTATGAAGCAGACCGCTGGAAAGGATGCTGAAGAAATCCGGAGAACTTTGAGATTTGGGCGTAGTTGCTTTTGTAAACAAACATGTCAATCGCTGATTTTTCGCGAATAAAAGTACAATCTCGTGAACAAATTATACCAAATGATAGAGGAACCATTCATCTACCTCCTTGTCTTGTTAGTTTTTGAGATTGAGCTTTATTTCGCGAGAAATCTTCAAATGTTTGTTTACAAAAGCAATTACGCCCTAATCTTGAAGTTCTCCGGAAATAGCCTTTACAAAGCAGCTGCCAAAACGCATCACGTGAAAAATCTCTCTACTACTGTCCGGGAGCAGTAGCTCTTCATGAGTTCCACTAATACCAGAAAGCTACTGATCCGTATGTTACCGTATAACTATTCAAGCCTTCAAAGCGGATCTGCGCTATCGAATCTGGTGGAAAGAGCCATCCATGCCAACTGTGCAATGATGTTGATTTGGAATATTCAGCGAACCCAAAAGAAACGTGCCCGAGAAAAACATGGCAAATGTAAAAAAAAATAGAAAAATGTTAGTTCCTGTGAATAAATCTGAAAACAAATAATCATGGATTGATAAAATCATCCGAAAACAGGTATAATAAAATAAATTGTTTTGGTGTTCACTCGGCTGTCGACAAAAGCAGACCACTCTCGATGTGTGCTAAGCGATCGTCTGTTTTCTCGGCAGCAACCATTGTGTGGTCCTCCTCATTGTTCTTCATCAGCAGTTCTTTCGGTCGATGCGTCGTCGACTTTGGAAATCAACCGTTTCGTGATGAGTGTGTGCGTGCTGACCACGTTTTGCGTCCATTGCTGCAATGGACGCGCTCTGACCCTCGTTGGCGTACAACAATTTGCCATACAATGAAACTACTGGAAGCGGCTCCAGTTCTGATGGAGGAGGCTTTTTGGATAGCGGAAGATAAAGTGTTTATTGTGTTGTACCTTTTGACTATAGTTTTAAGATGTATTGTATAGTGACCAAGAATCCTCGGCTCTGTAAAGTTAATTCGGTTGAGCCTTATCAAATAAATTAATGAACAAAAAAAAAAAAAAAAAAAAATTGTTTTACCTAACCTCAAAATATAATCGCAAGGCCCAAGACTACAGGATGATTGAATTTTACATGGAATGTAAATTTATGCTATGAAAGAATACGACCTGTAATTTTGAAAACTGATCTAAAAATACGTTATATATGATGTGGTCTTTTTGTTACATGCAGTTAAACGTAAAATCACACGTTTCGTTCTAACTGTGTATAATCATGTAAGGTTTTAAGGTTTGTCAACAAAATATATTGGATTCATCAAATCATCATGCAGTTCATATCTTGATGTTTACAAGACTCACTAAGGCATTTTATGATGTCCCGTCCCGATTAAATTTGTGAACCCTTACATCCTCGTCGAGTACAGGGCTCATGTGATATTCATTGATGTTAGGACAACATATTTCGGGTTCTTCAAATTATCCAGGAATTTAGAACTAGATGTTCTACGTTCTCAAGAAGATCTTTTGCAAAGCCCGGAGTTATTACACAAATCCGTAGAGGTTCGTTGGATATTATCACGTCATCAATCCATGAATCCAGGAGCGAAGTCATTCGAAAGAAGAAGATCAAGTATATTTTAAGGGAAGCTCGAGGTATTTCAGAACGAAAGTTCATAAAAACTTTCGGAGTTTCCAAGAGAATATAGTTTTCCAAATGGAAGAGTTTGTCTGGAAGAAGACCTTAGAAACATCTGGACATCCTTCTTCTACAAAAAAAAAAATTAGAAAATGTCTACAGGAGCAAGTATTCGTGTTGGCCACACTGGCCTCAGCGCACCTACCGTTGGTGCCTACGTGGATCAGCACATCCCTGCAGCGGGTTCAGCAGCGAAATGACAAGCGGAGTGACAGGTATCAATCTGTCACACCGGGTGAGTAGGAAAACACATAAAACCCGGACAATCGACAGCCATTCTATCCCTAATTAGTTCAGTTCTATTTAATTAAAATTCTAATATAGTTTAAATACCTAAATCTAGTGTTACTCACCGAAGAAACTTGTAAGTTCTTTTTGCATTAAGATTACTGTGAATTAAGAATATTTTGCGTGTAAATAGGTAATCCACAACTCTGTGCAATTGAATCGCAGCTAATTAACTGTCTCACCAGACAACAGAATCGGTGAGAATGATGAATTGCTAATGGAAGCTTACAAATACTTAATCTAATGCAACTTACCTAGGACTTACAGCTAAAACTTACGTGCTAGGCTAAACCTAAATCCTGGAATACTCCAAGGGGAACTAAACGTGAGTACTTCTTATCTAAACTTACATCTAGGCCGAACAAAAATAGTTGAGAACGATCAACAATGTTATACAAACATACATCCATATATATAAACTACAGATATGAACCAAATTTACATTCTACACATGAAGTACACTGAAATCTATAACGATTTATTGCCAATATTTAGCAAACTTAGATATATATATATACATAATTACTAATTACATCTGAAATTGTACTAACTGCGTGACATCTGGAGTTGTACTAACTGCGTGACTGCGAAATGGGTCCAGCGAACTAAGGCAGCTTCGGACGGAGCACCAATAAAGGAAGACGTCATCCAGAATCGGAGATCGCTGCAAGACCTAAGCATCGGAAAAATCGTGACAAGCACCCGTGGCAATCCAGTAATTCCTTCAGCTACAACATCACAAAAGTCAGCTAAGTCGCTGACAGTTCCGTTGACCAGCCATCATCCAGCACCTCTGGTTCCAGTACCCGATCAGAAGCAGCAGACTTCGACACATAGCATAGATATACCATTGATTGGCTCTGGAATTCGTTCAGATCCAGCGTCGCAAAAATATTTGAAGTCATTACCAGTTTCGTTGGCCAGTAAACACCAAACGTGTCCAGATCTAGGGTTCAGCCAGCAGAAGCAGAAGTCGTCGTTACCAGCTGTAGTGTTGCCAGTGATCGATGCAGAGGAAGCGATTTCTGAAATGTCCATCTCCTCGTCACAAAAGTCTGCAAGAAACCGCGCCAAGCTTCAACTAATGAGATTGCAGGAAGAACGGGCATTTCAGCAGCAGCAAGAAGAGCGCAGAAGAATCGCTGAGGAAAAGGCAGCCCAGGAGTATAAGGAATATCTGGACAACAAATATAAGATTCTGGAGGATTTAGCGAGCGAACGAGGATCGAGTCGGAGCTCTAACTTCTCTCGTCGTCGGGTTGAAGAATGGGTGCAAGCAACTAACCCTACACCCTTAGACACAGCCAAAACCGCCGCTCAGGAGCAAGACGGCCTGCAAGAACAACAACAGCAGGAACATCGGCGTCAAGAGTTTGTCGAGCAACAGCAGCAGGAACGGTTGCGGCAAGAACAGCTTCGAGAAAAACAACAGCAGCAGGAAGCGACACTGCAAGAACAACATCAGCAACAACGGTTGCACGCAGATCAGCTACGGAAGCAGCAGCAGAGTCAGTTGGAGAGAGAGCTGCAATTTCGGCAGTATCAACAGCAGCAGCGGCAAGAGCAAATACGTCAGGAGAGTCTTCTGCGACAGCAACGGGAAGATTTGAGGAAGGAAGCGGATGCCATCAATCGGATGTGGGAACAGCAGTTGGAACAGGAGAGAATTCTACGCGACCAGCAACAACAGCTAGCGGATGGTCAAGGGGTCATGCGACGACCAGGAAATCTAATTCAATGCAACCAGATGCCAGAACCACAACTCAACCCTCCACCGGTGAATCTCGAAGCAGAGTCATGCAGAGAGTCGATACGTGAGCAACCTGGACAATTCCTTCCAGACGCTCTACCGCAGTCGACGCAACTTCATCCGAGAGAATCGTATTATCCGCATAGACCTTCTATGAATACAGGCGACAGAAATAGAGGGCTTTCAGTAAACTCGTCGATTGTGGATGATGATGACCAGTTTCAACTTTCCCGCTCTCAAGTTGCAGCACGACAAGCAGTATCCAAAGATCTGCCTACGTTTTCGGGCAATCCAGAGGAGTGGCCAGTTTTCATATCCATGTATAATCGAACGACCACGATGTGCGGATTTACGGAGGATGAAAACATAGTTCGACTGCAGAAAAGCCTAAAAGGCAGAGCTTACGATGCTGTCAAGAGTCGGTTGATGCATTCCGGAAACGTTCCTGGCATTCTGTCCACTTTGAAGATGCTGTTTGGTCAACCAGAGGTGATCATACAATCGCTAATTGGGAAGGTGAGCTCTTTATCGTCGATTCGAGAAGACAAGCTGGAAACGCTAGTGGACTTTGCGGTGAATGTCCAAAACTTCTGTGCCACTGTAGACGCGTGTGGACTGCAGGAGTATATGTACAATGTCACTCTACTACACCAGCTAGTCGGCAAGCTACCGCCATCGCTCAAACTCAACTGGGCACAGCATCGTCGAACACTGTCACTGGTCAATCTGGCGACCTTCAGTGAGTGGATTTATGCCTTGGCGGAAGCAGCGAGTGTCGTCGTATTCCTACCGGCGACACATGACGGGAAGCCAACTGAAAACGAAGCGCGGGGGACTAAGAAAAGAAATGCGTACCTCAACGCCCATTCTGAAACGTTTCGTCCTAAAGACTACAGTAGCGATTCGGAAGAACAGACTACAGTTGCATCAACTTCGGGGAAGGAATCCTGCCAAATCTGCAAGGGAACTTGCAAGTCGGCCGACAAGTGCAAACGTTTTCTGGAACTGTCCAGGGAATCACGTTGGGCCGTCATAAGGGAATTTGGATTCTGCCGCACATGTCTGCGCATCCATAAAGGATACTGCAAAGCAAAACCATGTGGTAAAGATGGATGCACCTACCGGCACCACAAGCTGTTGCACAACAATTCGAAGGAAAATCCGAAAAACACCGGAAGTACCACTGAACGTGAGCAATCTTCGCAATCCAGCACTAGCAAGTCCGGATGCAACACCCACCAGACAACCGTCAGCTCAGTACTGTTCCGTTATCTCCCAGTAGTGTTGTATGGAAAAAATACAGCTATTCGCACGTACGCATTCTTGGATGAGGGTTCTGCGCTTACGTTGCTTGATCAAGAGCTAGCTAACGAATTGCAGCTTGATGGCACTGTAAGCCCTTTGTGTCTCCGATGGACTGGAGGAACCGAACGACACGAGGCGGATTCTCACATCTATAATCTTCACATTGCTGGTGGCAAGAACGAAAGCAAGAAATTCCTCTTGAGCGATGTTAGGACGGTTAAAGAGCTACTGTTGCCGCAGCAAACGATGGACATGGCTAAGTTGTCACAGCTGTACCCACACCTTCGAAATCTGCCGATCGATTCTTATCGCGACGCTCGTCCACGCATTCTAATAGGGATGAAGCACGCCCTGCTCAGTCTTGGCCTGAAAAATCAAGAAGGGGAAATCGGTCAACCAATTGCTGTGAAGACACGGCTCGGATGGACCGTGTGTGGAGGATGGACTTCCCAGAACGAAGCGAGCCTACACCATTACACCTTCCACGTTTGCCCCTGTAGTGTGAAGTCAGACGAGGATTTACACCAAGCTATGAAGGACTACTTCTCAATAGACAGTCTCGGGTTGGTTAAATCGGAGAAGGCGCTTTTGTCCGTTGAAGATGAACGTGCAGTATCACTGCTTCAATCGCTTACCCGTCGTAAAGATGATCGATACGAGTCCGGGCTGCTCTGGCGGTTCGATGACGCCCGCTTGCCTGACAGTCGATCAATGGCGCTGCGGCGATTCCAGTGCCTGAAGAAACGGATGGAGAAGGACCCACAACTGTCTAATACCCTGCAAGCGAAAATTGCCGAGTATGTGGAGAAGCAGTACATCCGGAAGCTCACCGACGAAGAAATCAACCAGAAGGTTCCGCGACGCTGGTATTTGCCAATCTTTCCCGTAACCAACCCAAATAAACCTGGGAAGGTGCGAATTGTGTGGGACGCAGCGGCCATCGCCTATGGAACGTCCCTGAACTCAACGCTGCTAAAAGGACCGGATCTGTTGTGCTCTCTCCTCGCGATTCTACTCCAGTTTCGGGAACGCCGTATCGGACTGACCGGTGATATCCGTGAAATGTTTCATCAGGTACTGATCCGAGCCGAAGACCAGTTATGTCAGTGTTTCTTCTGGATAGACGAGCATGGAGCTATAGTGGTGTACGTGATGCGAGTGATGACATTCGGGGCCTGCTGCTCCCCCAGCACTGCTCAGTTCGTGAAAAATACCAATGCGGAACGATTCGCGAGCAAATATCCAGCTGCCTGCGAAGCTATCACGAAGTCGCATTACGTAGACGATATGCTCGTTAGTGTGGATACCGAAGAGCAAGCCATCCAGTTGGCGAAGGACGTTAAGCATGTACACGAGCAGGGCGGCTTCGAAATCCGAAATTGGGTTAGTAACTCGAGAAAAGTACTTGAATCGCTACAGGAGACAGACACCGACGAAAAATGTCTCGACTTATCTCCGGAGCTGGCCACCGAGAAGGTGTTAGGCATGTGGTGGAACACGAGCTACGACGTCTTCACCTACAAAGTGGGATGGAGCCGCTACGACCCTGCTCTGCTAGGAGGCCAACGACGTCCAACGAAGCGGGAAGTGCTGCGTGTCCTAATGACCATTTTTGATCCACTTGGCTTGATTTCCCACTTTCTATCGTTCCTGAAGATCCTGCTCCAGCAAATCTGGCGGTCCGGTGTGCAGTGGGACGAAGAAATCGACGACAATGCATACGAAAAATGGAACACATGGTTGCAAGTTCTACCTAGGGTTGAACAGATTCAAATCCCTCGATGCTACAACTCCAAATACCCCGCGGAGGAAGCTGATGATATCCAACTCCATACGATGGTGGATGCCAGTGAAAACGGCATGGCCGCTGTTTGCTATCTGCGTTTCGTCAAGACCGGAACGATCATCTGTTCCATCGTCGCCGCAAAAACGAGAGTCGCCCCGCTTAAGTTCACGTCGATCCCAAGAATGGAACTAGCAGCTGCAGTCCTTGGCGCCCGGTTGGCTCACGCTGTCGAAAGATCGCTGTTCATCCACATCTGCAGAAAGGTGTACTGGTCAGATTCTCGAGACGTCCTATGCTGGATCAACTCAGACCATCGCCGCTATAGCCAATATGTTGCTCACAGGATCAGTGAGATTGTAGAGATTTCGGAAACACATGAATGGCGGTGGGTCCCGAGCAAGCTGAACTGCGCCGATGACGCTACCAAGTGGAGTAGGCTACCAGATATGTCATCTAATCATAGATGGTACAAAGGAGCAGACTTTCTCTGGCGCGCTGAAGAAGATTGGCCTCCATCGCCAACACTTAGTGGTTCTACAGAGAATGAACTTCGCCCTTCCTTCCTGGCTCATCACGAACTATTGGAACCCGTCATAAGTGTCAGCAACTACTCAAGCTGGAAGAGGCTCGTCAAGGTTGCAGCACTCGTTCATCGTTTTGCGAGTAATTGTCGCCTGAAGCACGCCAGGAGACCGATTCTCACGGGAACACTCACAGCAAACGACCTGCTTTCCGCCGGGTGTTTGCTGATACGGCTCGCGCAACGGGAAACATATCCTGACGAAATTGCTGTTCTTCAGAAGGCATCGCGATGCCCTGACTCCTGCACAAGTACTATCCCGAAAACCAGCTCACTCTACCCGTTAACACCATGGTTGGACGACCATGGAATCATGCGTATGCGAACTCGTATCGCTGCTTGTCAATATGCTACTGATGACGCGAAGCACCCAATTATTCTCCATCGAAATCACCACACCACCACCCTGATCGTAGCATACTACCACCTCAAATACCACCATCAGAACCACGAGACCGTTATCAACGAAATACGGCAGAAATTTCGCATCCCTCATTTACGCACCTGTTACGAGCCAGTGAGGAAAACTTGCCAGTGGTGTAAGAACCAGCACGCAGCACCCAGCCCACCTTACATGGCAGATCTTCCGCCAGCCCGCCTCGCTGCTTTCTCGCGACCATTTACACATGTGGGAGTGGACTACTTTGGGCCGATTGAAGTCGTCGTCGGAAGGAGAGTCGAGAAGCGGTGGGGAATGTTAGCCACCTGCCTGACCGTGCGAGCAATCCACATAGAAGTCGTGCACTCGCTTTGCACAAGCTCCTGCATCATGGCGATCCACAACTTCATTGCACGGCGTGGTACTCCTCAGAAGATTTACAGTGACCGTGGCACGAACTTCATCGGTGCAAATCGGGAATTGAAGCAAGCCAACGAAGCAGTCCACCAACACGAACTGATGAGAGAGTTCACGAGCTCCGGAATTGAATGGGTGTTCAACCCACCTCTGTCGCCACATATGGGTGGCAGTTGGGAGCGATTGATTCGCACCGTCAAGAACAACTTGATGGTTGTATGTTCGTCGAAGAGGCCGTCCGACGAAGTACTCCGCAACTTGTTGATCGAAGTGGAGAATACCGTGAACTCGCGACCGCTAACGCACGTGCCGATAGACGAGGATTCAGCACCAGCACTGACACCGAACCACTTTCTGCTTGGCTCGTCCAACGGGTCAAAACCGCTTGTTAACTTTGATGATACCGGTGCGATCCTAAGGCAGAACTGGTGCACATCGCAGATACTTGCAAACCAATACTGGAAGCGTTGGGTATCGGACTACCTGCCAGAGATTACCCGCCGTACCAAGTGGTTTCGTCGGGTAAAGCCGATTGCCGTGGGCGATATTGTGGTCATCGCCGATTCCAACATGCCCCGCAACTGTTGGCCGAAGGGGAAAGTCATCGGCATTAAAGTCAGCCAGGACGACCAGGTTCGGTCCGCAACCGTAAGAACAGTGAGTGGTATCTACGACCGCCCGGCGACGAAGCTTGCTGTTTTAGACGTCCGGTGCGACGGAGAGTAAGCCAACCAGGGGTTGTCGTACCCTGGGGGGAGTGTTGGCCACACTGGCCTCAGCACACCTACCGTTGGTGCCTACGTGGATCAGCACATCCCTGCAGCGGGTTCAGCAGCGAAATGACAAGCGGAGTGACAGGTATCAATCTGTCACACCGGGTGAGTAGGAAAACACATAAAACCCGGACAATCGACAGCCATTCTATCCCTAATTAGTTCAGTGCTATTTAATTAAAATTCTAATATAGTTTAAATACCTAAATCTAGTGTTACTCACCGAAGAAACTTGTAAGTTCTTTTTGCATTAAGATTACTGTGAATTAAGAATATTTTGCGTGTAAATAGGTAATCCACAACTCTGTGCAATTGAATCGCAGCTAATTAACTGTCTCACCAGACAACAGAATCGGTGAGAATGATGAATTGCTAATGGAAGCTTACAAATACTTAATCTAATGCAACTTACCTAGGACTTACAGCTAAAACTTACGTGCTAGGCTAAACCTAAATCCTGGAATACTCCAAGGGGAACTAAACGTGAGTACTTCTTATCTAAACTTACATCTAGGCCGAACAAAAATAGTTGAGAACGATCAACAATGTTATACAAACATACATCCATATATATAAACTACAGATATGAACCAAATTTACATTCTACACATGAAGTACACTGAAATCTATAACGATTTATTGCCAATATTTAGCAAACTTAGATATATATATATATACATAATTACTAATTACATCTGAAATTATTGTTATTTGCTAGGAAAATTATATTCTCACATCAAGTAACACCAATCGGATCGTGCGTTTTATTCGTTCCCGGCCTAAGTAGTGAGAATCATAATTTTGGAAACTTCCCGTTGAAATCGATTTTCAACAATTCGGGAAAATCTACAGAGTTCACAGGAAAAGCTGGAGAAAGTTTACAGGAAGATTTGGAGGAAGTCTATAGAAAGATCTGGAGAAAGCTCACAGAAAAATCTGTAGGAAGTCTACAGAAGTATCTGGAAGAAGTCCATAGAATATATTGAAGAAGCTCACAGGAAGATATGGAGGAAGCCCACTAGAAGATCCTAAAGAAGTCCACACGAAAATCTGAAGGAAGTTCTCATGAAGATCTGAAGAAATTACGATTCAAATGAATTCTACAGGAAGATCTCGAGAAAGTCCATAGGAATATTTGGAAGAAGTCCACAGGAAGATCTGGGAGAAGTTAATAGAAAAAAAGCTGGCATAAATTCACAATCTTGAGGAAGTCCACATAAATATCTGGGAGAAGTCCATCGAAAGATATGGAAGAAGCTCATAGGAAGATCTGTAGGATGCCCCCAGAATGATCTAAAAGAAGTCCACAGGAAGATCAAGAAGATGTTTTTTTTTATATTAATTTATTTGTACAGGCTTAATCGAATAAACTTTACAGAGACGAGTTATCATTTGCATTAAACATGCTTAATGTCTTAAATCTAGAGTTAAAGGAATTGTACCGATTACTCGCGGTCGTCTCGAGGTTAGTGGAGATTTACAATTTTTATAATGGGGAAAGGGATAAGGAGGTTTGAAATATGATTTATTATACAAATATTTAATTAATCCTAAAACATGAACTTATTTCTATTCATCTTTAAAACAAACATTAAAAAAAAAACTACACGCACAATACACAAACTAAACACAAGGTTAATCAAACTTACAATCTAAGGTTAGTATTCTTAAAGTAAACATATATGAGTTTCATAAACTCCAGAATCAAGAAGATGTTGACAGGAAGATCTGGAAGAAGCCCACAGAATAACCTGAAAAAGTCCACAGGAAAATCTGAAGGAAGTCCTCAGGATAATATGGAGGAATTGCACAGGGAGATTTGAAGAAAGTGCACATAAAGACCTGAAAAAGCCTGTAAGAAGACAGAAGAGACATCTAAAGGAAGTCTGCAGGACGATCCACATGAAATCTACAGGAATATCTCGAGGAAGTCCACAGGAAGATCTGGAAGAAGTCCATAGGAAAAAAGCTGGAAGCAATTTTGAGGAAGTCCTCAGAAATATCTTGAAGAAGTCCATAGAAAGATAGGGAAAAAGCTCAAAGAAAAATTTGCAGGATGCCCACATAATGATCTAAACGAAGTCCACAGGAAGATCAGGAAGAAGTCCATATCTGGAAGAAGATCCAGAAGACGTCCACAGGAAAATCTTGAGGAGGTCCACAGAAAGATCTGGAGGAAGTCCACAGGAAGATCTGGAGCAAGTCAACAGAAACATCTGATGGAAGTCCACTGAAAGATATGGAAGAACCTCACAAGAAGATCTGGAGGAAGACCACATAAAGATCCGGAAGATGTCCACAGGATGACCTAGAAGAAGTCCACAGAAAAAAAAACTTAAGGAAGTCTACAGGAAGATCTGGAAGGAGTCCACAGGAAAAGTTTGAGAAAGTTCACAAGAAGATCTGGAGGAAGATCACAGTAAAATCTGGAAGAAGTCCTCAGAAAACTGTTGGAAGAAGTCCACAGAAATATATGAAAGAAGTTCACAGGAAGATCTGGAGGATGCGCACAGAATGATCTAAAAGAAGTGCACAGTAAGAACAGGAAGAAGTTCACAAAAATATGTGGAAGAAGCCCACATCTGGAAGACGTCCGCAGAAAGATTTGTAGGAATTCCACAGTTAATTGTGTTTAATCTGCAGGATGCCCACATAATGATTTAAATGAAGTCCACATGAAGATCAGGGAAGTCCACAGGGAGATCTGGAAAAAGCCCACATATGGAAGAAGATCCAGAAGACTTCCGCAGGAAAATCTGGAGAAAGTCCACTAGAAAATATGGAGGAGTTCACAGGAAGATTGAAGAAATTTCACATAAAAACCTGAAAGAAGCCCTAAATAAAACCAAAAAAATATCTGGAGGAATTCCACAGGAAGATTTTGAGGAAGTTCAAAGGAAGATCTGAAGAAAGTTTCCAGTAAGACCTGAAGGAAGCCCAAAAATCTTCCTTTAGAAGTCCTTATGCACTTCCACCAGATGTCCTTATGACTTTCGTTTTTTCTGAAATTCTTATGCACTTTCTTCAGAAGTCCTTGCAAACTTTCTGCAGATATTCTTAAGAACTTTCTCCTGAAGTATATATAAAATTCCTGCAGAAGCCATTGTGGATTTTCTCCAGAAGTCTTATGAAGTCCTGTATACTTCATTTTGAAGTGTTGTGTACTCCCAGCGGAAGTCCTGTAGACTTTCTCTAGAAGTCCCATGGACTCCTTAATCATTCCCCTATAAATTTCCCCTAGAAGTGCTATGAACTTCATTTAGAAGTCCGATGCACGTCCCCAAGAAGTTCTGTGTACTTATCCTAATAGTTCTAACGGACCTTTTCTATGATTCCTTTCGACGTATCGTAGAGGTCGTGAGTTTGGGAAGGGATTTGAGAGTGGAGGAATGTTGGGAGGAGTAGACTTTAAAATGTATTTAGTGGATGTTCCATAACTGGTTGGTATCTAAATTGATTGATGAGCGTTTTAGTAGAATAATTGTATACCTTTTACGTTGTTTTTTTAATTTAATTCTACTATTTTTGTATCATTTAAAGTTTCACTAATTCACTTTCACTAATTAAAGTTCACTATTTATTTTCACTATTTACTTTCACTATCACTTTAAACTATAACAGATACGTATTTCCTTTACTACTTGCAAACTTCTTCAGTGTCTAGTCATATATAGGCAAATAGTGAAAGTGAATTAGTGAATGTGAATTAGTGAAAATGAAAGTTATACAATAGTAGTAGAATTAAAAAGAAAAACAACGTGGAAGACATATCTGAGTTTTACGTCCGAGCATCTTTTGTTGCAGTGTACTGAATATCCTCTAGAATTCTAAAATGGTTATTAATTGTTTAACTGATAGGTAATCTTATGGTAAGTTTAAGCAACTGTATTGTGGACAACACTGTATTCTGCAGTGTGACATAGTAGCCATGATTTATGTCTTCTATTCTAAGCGCCATACACCCCAATGTTGCCTGCTGAACAGTTGATTGAGCATAATCATAAGACACCAGTGACTTGAATCATTAATAATTTTTGTTCCTTAAATTTGATCTAAACGTAGTAGCTGAAAAAATTCTCAACAAGCTCAGTTATAATTTTCTAAAGTAAAGGGAACTGGTGAATTTTGAGATAGAAATTAATCGAAATTATGGTTTCCCCGTAGTAATTTCCATATAAACTTTAAATGGTTTGTGCCAAGTCAGATTCTTACTAAAGGAGTTCAAATTTTGGGAGGATAATCAGGACACAATTTGGAACCGTTTGAGCACTGTGGAGCGAAAATTTCAAATTTTGCATCAGTCTAGCGTATATGCTTCTAAACCCATGCAATAGGGGTATCTACGGAATGGGTTCGATGAGTAGAAGTGGAAAATAGACATCCTCCGCAATTTTTATAATCAAGGCGTTAATTTTCTACTTCTACACTTCTACTTATCGAGCCCATTCCGTAGATACCCATTTTGCATGGGTTTAGATGCATAAGCGCTGTTTAGAGGCTGGATTTTGGTCCGTCATCTTTAATTCAAGAATGGCGGCGGATGTTGATTTTCCACTTCAACTCATCAAACTCATTCCATAGATACCCAATTTGCATGGGTTTAGATGCATATTCGCTGTTAGGAGGCTGCCATATTGAATTTTGGTCCACCATATTGGATTTGTGAAAGCCATCTTGGGTTGAAATCCACCATTTTAATTTCATCCAGGATGCTGACTTTGACTGATATTGATCGAAAATCACGGGTGATTTTCTTGGTGATGATGATATCAAAAGCACACAAGGTTCCGGTGGTTTTAGATGATATTGATCTTAAAATATAGCTGATTTCGATTTTCTGATCTTGAGTTTAACCAATACTACCCCTAAGGGGACATGTATAAATGACGTAGAATTTGAGGAAGAAGAGGATTTTGAATTATGGACTGCCCCTACGTCGAAGTTCTGTGAACT